CCAGTTTAACTAGGTCAACTAGGTAGGTCAATGGAAAACACTCTACTTTTACAGTCGAGTTAGAACCAGCACCAAGAGACTGAGCCAGTTCTGAATGTGAATGTTGCACGAGTCAGACTTGGGACGAACAAGAAAGATCAGGTCTTGAAGGTCACGGTTACCTCGGAAATGGACATTCACTACAAATATCTCTATTTTATCGATCTTGCTTGTACCAGTTTCAAACATATCTGTGTTTGGTGTCTCTCCATGGTCTCAAACAAAAAGTACATCCAACCCATGTTAGTACCATATGAAACTCCTGCTGGGACTCAGAGGAGCACAGGGACTTTGCCTCCTTCTGGTCCCAGAGTCAAGACTAAACATGGGGAGTCTGCATTTCAGACTCATGCAGGTATAATCGGGAACAGTCTTCCTGAAAATGTGATGAAGGCTCCTACTCTGACAATATTTAAATCCAGCTAAACCGTTCTCTTTAGCTGTGCACTGCAAAAAATGCTGAAAAATAAGTCAAAAATTACTCCCTTGGAATGAGAAGAAGAACAGTTTTTGAAATCTGGTTTTAACAACAACATTCTGATGTATAACAAACCTGTTAAAAGTAGCTGTATTATGCAGAGTAATGTAAACTGTTTGTGCTCAGTAGTGTGTGTTGCTATGGTGACCCTTCAGAAGAGTGATACGAAACACCCATTTTATTGGGTTTACATTGGAATCCTCACTGACCGCGGTTCAAATATGGAACATGGGAGAGGAAAGGATCTCAGTAATAAACATGTTCATGGCAGAAGTACATTTGGTTATTTCAACATCAAACATTGCATGCTGCAACTGAAAACACAGACGCACACACACACCTGGTCTGCTCCTCCGCAGGCTCATTCACAGAAGCCCATGTGTTACCATCGTTTCCACCATGATTGAGCAGTTTATGGTTTTGTCAATTGCGGCCCTCAATGTCATTTTATGTGGCCCTCTTTCTTGCCAAAATAGTTTTTGAGATCATAAACACAAGGTCACTGTGTCATCCATCCAACTTCAGCTAAGCCAATAAAGACATGTTGTAAGTCGTTCTAAAGCCCAGTACGTCTGGATGGTAAACATGTGTCATTCAGCCAACTTCAGCTTCATTATAGATCATAGTAAAGCTCAGAACAGCCCGATGCCAGTCAAGACAGTTTTTCAGTCCATGACGTAAGTCCCTGGACTAGTCTGATAATGTGGCCCTCTTACTAAAATGTTTGGACGCCCCGGTTTTAAAGCGTTCTCATTGGCTGTTCTACATCCGCCGCAAAGTTCAGCTGGTGATTGATTGTTGTCACTCGCAAGATTTAAACATTGTCTTACTGCAAGTATTTCATTGTTTTGTGCCGTTTGAGGTTTGATGTTTGGTTTCTTACCCATGCAGGAGGGTTAAAGGACAGATATGATCCAGGTCATTTAAGACTGCCAGAATATACTCAAATGAAGACAAAAACCACTTGATTTGGGAATTCATCACCTCATATTGTATCACTTTCTGCAGTGAGTGATGGGAGGAAGAGAGAAATATTTTAGGAAATTGGTCTCTGGACTTGTTTGTTACTCCCAGTATGTGCGACATCAATCTAGGCGCTACAGAGTTCCAACAATAAACAAATAAACATGTTTCTTTACAGTTATAAGCAGAACTCCTTGGTCCTTGTATCTTTGAGTCCAAACAGACCCTAGAGCTGCGGTGATGGTTTAAGTCGCTGTTATTGAATCGTATTCTGGGTTTGTCCTCTGTGTATTTCTTCTGTGGTCACCTCCGAGTCTGAGACAAATTCCTTTGGGACAAAATAAATGAAACTTGATCCAGAGGTGAAGGATTAGGGAGTATAGGGACTGTGTGAAAGAGAGGATACAGCAATTGGGTACAAGCCTTTTCTCATTAAAGGCCACAGAGCAAAGACCAGGACCAGAGCCACATCCAGAGGAGACTCAGGGTCACTCTAGAACACGGCTCTCAAACTCAATTCATCTGAGTCCGAGTCTGGCTGAACCTGGGTTATGATGGGCTATGTTTAGATTGTGTTTGTGTTTGTGCAAAATGTATAACGTAGGAGCAAATAGATCACTGCCGACTGACTTTTTACGATCATGAAGGTGTTTCGTCGTTCATGGTGCGGCGGGGTGGCTGAGTGGATAGCACTCTTGCTTCTCAGCAAGAAGGTCCTGGGTTCGAATCCCGGTTGGAACAGGGCCTTTCTGAGTGGAGTTTGCATGTTCTACCCGTGTCTGCGTAAGTTTCCTCCGGGTGCTCCGGTTTTCCCTACCGCACAATAGGTATGAATGTCAATGAGAGAGTGACGGTGTTGAGGGCTGATGGTCCAGTGTGTTCTCGCTTCTGTCATCACCGTGTGTGGAATGATTGGAACATATGATTGGAATATCTGAACTCTGAACATTGTAAAGCGCTTTGGGTGACCTTGGTCTGTAAAATGTGCTATATAAATAAGTAATGTTTACTTACTTGTCCAAATCATAACTTTTTTGAATATGAGTTTGATGTATTTTTTTTATATATCTCTATGAACAAAATGAGTCCAGCAGTTTGAATGAAAAGCAATGAGGCTTTTTATCGTAGACTGGGTTTATCAATGTTTACTTTGAATTATTGCTTATTGCGTTCAGGGTTCAATGTTTATGGCCAAATAAATGTGGTGGTTGTTTTCTTGATAAAATTCTTTAAAACTATGTGTAACGTGCATAGACTGTATATATTAACAGACGTAGTCACGCCTATCTCTGCCGTTCTGGGCCAAAAATTGGGCTTTCATGGAGTTATTCAAAATGGCCGCGGGGGCTGGAAAATGTGAAAAAACGCATCTGCACATGCGTCGGCCGGCACGAGCTCCATTCATTTAAACAAGTGACTTCAAAAATTCACAGCGAGTAAACTAGAGTGGTCCAAAGACCCCCTCAGCATTGACACACATGTGGAACGGAGCTTCGGGCCAAGAGCCAACTTTGGACCATCCTGTAAAGGTGTTTTTGAGAGGTCAGAAGATATGTACATTTGCATTGAATAATTCCCTTTCCGGGTCCACCCCCATCGGCCCGGGGTGGTATTGCAAGCATGTCAGCGCCCGTCATTTTGGCCACTTTTGAGGCGGGACCCGCCCCCACTTGTAACGTGCCATATTTCCACAGAATCCCTGTGGGGGCCGCATTGTTATTAAACTTTGGTATCCCACGGGCCACGTGTTTGAGACCCCTGCTGTAGAAGGACAGTCTTTCCGTCTGTCTGTGAGGGGGAGAAGGAAAATCTGAATAAGTCATTGGTTTTATACAGCGCTGTTTTGGACACTTACAGATGCTTCACATGTCACTGTTCATTTACTTCAAATGCCGTGATGAACCACAGCTGCCCCGGGGCACAGTGACAGAAGCGAGGCCACCAGTACGGCTCCTCCTCCGCCCACCACCAACCATTTACACACACACCAGACTCATTCTATCTAGGGCAATGTGGGTGAAGTGTCTTGCCTAAGGACACAACAATAGTTAAATTCTTGGTATTTGGTCCCAGGCAGAAGTAAAACAATCACATTATGTTGTGTCTTTAATCAAATTTGCCAGAGCCACAATCAGGTTACGCTTAAGGTTAGGAACAGTTAATTTTGTTAAGGTTAATTAAATTCCTCTCAGAGTTGTCGATTCCTTTGATTTCCATCTGAACCTTCGTTGGTCCATAGAGAGCGGGATGATCACGGTACGGTTCATAAATGTCCTTAAATGACCTGGATCATATCTGTCCTTTAACCCTCCTGCATGGGTAAGAAACCAAACATCAAACCTCAAACGGCACAAAACAATGAAATACTTGCAGTAAGACGATGTTTAAATCTTGCGAGTGACAACAATCAATTACCAGCTGCACTTTGCGGCGGATGTAGAACAGCCAATGAGAACGCTTTAAAACCTGGGGCGTCCAAACATTTTAGTAAGAGGGCCACATTATCAGACTAGTCCAGGGACTTACGTCATGGACTGAAAAACTGTCTTGACTGGCATCGGGCTGTTTTGAGCTTTACTATGATCTAATATGAAGCTGAAGTTGGCTGAATGACACATGTTTACCATCCAGACGTACTGGGCTTTAGAACGACTTACAACATGTCTTTATTGGCTTAGCTGAAGTTGGATGGATGACACAGTGACCTTGTGTTTATGATCTCAAAAACTATTTTGGCAAGAAAGAGGGCCACATAAAATGACATTGAGGGCCGCAATTGACAAAACCATAAACTGCTCAATCATGGTGGAAACGATGGTAACACATGGGCTTCTGTGAATGAGCCTGCGGAGGAGCAGACCAGGTGTGTGTGTGCGTCTGTGTTTTCAGTTGCAGCATGCAATGTTTGATGTTGAAATAACCAAATGTACTTCTGCCATGAACATGTTTATTACTGAGATCCTTTCCTCTCCCATGTTCCATATTTGAACCGCGGTCAGTGAGGATTCCAAAGTAAACCCAATAAAATGGGTGTTTCGTATCACTCTTCTGAAGGGTCACCATAGCAACACACACTACTGAGCACAAACAGTTTACATTACTCTGCATAATACAGCTACTTTTAACAGGTGTGTTATACATCAGAATGTTGTTAACTTGCTTAATATTTACCATCACTGTCTTCATTTTGGCAACTGTTGCTACGGAGTATTTTGCTGGCTCTTGGCTCATAAAGTAGTCCCTTATATGTTTTTGAGAGCTTAGTGGACACAATATAGATAGTGTAGGGTATTGTTGTGTAGGTTAGGGTAGAGTAGAGTAGGGTAGAGTAGTGTAGAGTAGGTTAGGGTAGAGTAGAGTAGGGTAGAGTAGTGTAGAGTAGGTTAGGGTAGAGAAGAGTAGAGTAGAGCAGAGTAAAGTAGAACTTTCTCTTTCCCTCTCTCAGAACCAATGCATGACAATAAGTGCAGCCACCTGCTAAATGTGCAGAAATGGCACGGGCAATAATGACCTCACCTTTTCATCTGAGCTTGTTCCGGCTCAGCGGCGTGATGGCCGGGAGCTCTTTGTGAGACGTTCCTGTGGCGTCCCCTGGCTCCACGCCTGGATGTCGCCACTCTGCACGACGGCTTATCCTCGAGCCGAACCGTGATAAACGGCTTTGCACTGGGGTGAGACGGCGGCTGCTCGCATCGACGGCTGGAAACGTGAAAAGCGCTACAGTCTGTGCCTCCAACTTTGCATCGGTGGTCTCCAGACCAATCCGTCCGGGGGGGGTGGGGGCTATGGGGGGACGGTGCAGCTATGAGGGTCAAATGTGTAAGGCCTGGGGCGATGCAGGTGCTAAAAACGTGCTAACCCTTGATAATTGCAGTATATCTGCAGGGGATGAGATTCAAATTGTGTGGATATGAGGTTTTGTAATGGTACCAAAAATGTGCAAAGGTGAGCACCTGTCTGTGTATCACAAATATGCAGGAAAATGATTCAAAGGTTTATTTTTTTTACGACAAAAGAGTAAAGAAGCTAGCACGGCTTAAATACCTGACATGTTTTGCGGGTAAACTTGATATTTAATGCAGAGAAATCATGACAAACTAACCAAAGCTTGTGATTATGTGTGACTTTCGCAAGCAGAATCTGGCCATAGCTGCATACAAAACCCAGATCCAGTCAGACCACTGAAGCTGTACAGGGCAGGGCTTGGTTAGTACTGTGATGGGAGACCTCTGTGAACATTAGGTGCCACAGTGAGGACGGCTGTGGCTATAAACTGCCAAACCCACAATACCTAGAATGAGTCTGGTTTGTGTGAATGGTTGGTGTTGGTCAGAGGGACCATACTGTTTGCCTCGCTTCTGTCAGCATTGTGTATGTAGTGAAACAATATTAACATGTGAAGCATCTTTGAGTGTCTCGTCTGCCTCAAGCAGGAGGCAGACAAGGAAGTTCCCAAAAACCAAAATTTATTTTCAAAAATAACCAAGGTGACTTGTGGCAAAATATATACAAAATATACAAAAACTGCTTCAAAACAAACAAAGAAACAGAAAGTAATGAAACTGAAACAAACCCACGTGTACCTGGCAACACTGGTGATGAACCCGCTCTGACTGACTCTTCAGCTCTTATAGACCCCCCTAAGACCTCCCACTAGTCTGTACTATCACTCACAGGGGTGGTCTCTAACTCCATACAATGTAAACTATACAATTATGTCCCTCACTAGCAGGTTTCCTCTCCGGTTTCAAAGTAATGTCTAACTAAACCTATAAACACTACATAATTGAAAACAAAACAACCTCCATCCATCCATCCATTTTCTACCCTTTAATCCATTTCTGGGTCAGGGGGGTGGCAGTCAGAGATGCCACCCAAGTCTCATAGCACCAGCCCCTCACTGACCCTCTGCAGGTGGTGAGTCCACAGGAGGACGGCTGCTCTCTGAGTGTGAGCATAGCCTTGATCTTTCAGTGGGGGCTTTGGGCAAAGTGGGGTAAAGTGTCTTGCCCAAGGACACAACGACAGCAGTCATCAGTGGGAGTCGATGGAGAAGGTGCAAGAACAAAACAACCTGTTAAACAAAACCCAAAATCCCAAACCTCCCCCATCCACATGGTCTGGTCCAAAGACCCTCCCACAGCCTACAAAAATGGCCGATGAAGGGACCATGTGGTGAGGTAAGTATAGCTGCAACTCAAAAAGGTGAGTGTTAAAGAAACTATCTCATAACAGATGACATAGTAAAGCAAATGAATGTGAACAAATGAAATAAGCTGTCAAAATAGGAAAAATATGGGACGAAGTGGCCTGCTTCGTCACAAAAATCAATGCATTTTTATTATTATTAAATGGAGAATTTAAAGGTGAGGAAAAAAAGGGATAGACCGAATAAAGAGGACATAGTACTGACATTTACAGTGCATTGCATAAATGTTTATACACCTGAAACTTTTGCAGATGTGACAACCACAAAGGTTTTACTTTGTATTTATTGAAAGTAACGGACAACTGTGCAAAAAAACATCTGAAACTGCATAAGTGACCATCCAGCCTGAGCTAAAACTTACATACAAGCTGGAGCACAATCAAAGAATGCAGCTTTATTCCAGTTTTACAGAAGCAACAGCAAAGGTCCGAGGAACTGAGACCGCACACTTTACAAATATACAGTATGTAATCTGGACCAAACTGGTTGGTTTAGTTTTAGGGATTTTATACTTTTAAAACTGACGAATGAGAAGAAAACAATAGATCAGTCACCGGACATGCAATCGTTAATGTTGTGGAAAAGTCCATGTCTTTAAAACGAAGAGTGTAAAGACCCTGGTAATGCTTAAAATGGATTTGAAGACTGCAGAGACCTGTCTCACATTTTCAAGAAGATTGTTCCATAACTTTGGTGCATAAATCTGAAACACTGCCTCCACATGTTTAGTTAAGAGTCTGGGCACCAGCAGGAGGCCGGTCCCTGTGGTCCTCATTGTCCCAGCAGATTGCTCCTCATCTGAACCGAGTCAAAGTCCTCAAAAATCAGAATTACTGTCATAACAAGTGCGCAAGGGCTCATAAATAAAAACCCCTGATTTGTATTGTCCATCACTGAATAACAATTATCTGTTTAAAACGTCTGTATACAACGTTATGGCTTACAAATGCATATCAACAAGCCCAATGACCCCTATTTGTACGTTACTTCTGGTCTCTGCAATTTTTCCGCAAATTACTTTTTGCATGATCATCATTGATAGAAACCGCTAACTGCTAATTTACACAGGAGGTATGCGTTATACGCGCAGCGCGTAACATTTTTCCATATTAACCAATGGGGATATTTACACTACTAGTGTTATACGTGTGTATGACGGACGTATGATGCGAGGCTGCGCATAATTTAGGATGGATTTCTAATTTTGTGTGCGAGCAACGAGTCTCCCATTGAAATCACATGTGAAACATGATTTTTTTCTAGTGACCCTTGGCTTTAGATCGCATCTACACACACAGCACTTGTATCTAAACATTAGCAGGAGCAGCAGGTTTTACAGTGATTCTGGACATTTTTTTTTCTTGCGTCTGGCCAAACCAGCGCACAGAGACCATGAGGACAAACACATGTATGTGATTTGTGTTGCTCTACATCAGTCCTCTGCCCTGCTCCATAGACTACACAGGGAGAGCATCGGGAGCTGTGGACCTGCACGCACGGTCAGTGTAGATACAACCAAATAATGTTACGCACATATGCGCGCAGTCTAACGCCTACTGTGTAAATTTCCTTTAAGGGTGAAACGATCTGTCAAAATGAGTTTTATTTAACACAAAAAAATACCACAATATACCAACAAAATGAAATTAGGTCCCTTTTAAGACATATTTATTCAGACTGGCTTTTAATATTCAGTAGCACAGCGACACTTTAGTTTCCCTTGGTTTTATCTGGCTGTATTATTGTTTGGTTGTTAACAGATTATATTGTAAAGCACTTTGGTGGCTTTATGTGTTGTAAAGGGCTCTATAAATATTCTGTTCTGCTCATCAACGGAGACGGTGTTCGGTCGGCTTGTGCCGCTTGCTAAGGTGTTCTGCCTCAGCTGTTTAAAATGTAATGCAAACATATACGGCGTCTCACGGCAGCTGTAGCAAACCAAAATGGCAGACATAAATTCTGTGAATTGTTTAAATAGCTTAAATGCGAATGAATTACAACAAAAATGTCACTTTTAATGCAATTTGTAGCCAGATGTTGATGGTTCTATAAAGTGATTTGTGGGTTTTAAGAGTCAAAGTGTTGTGTGAACTTTGGTTTAAGTAGTCAACTGCCCCTGTCAAACCAAACTGCTACTGTATGATAGCAGTCCCTCTCTTGTCAAGTTGAACTGCTGCATAAGTCATTTTACTGATGTGGGCCGATGACGTGTTCTGTGGCTTACTCAAAAGCTGACAGCTTACAACTTAGATTGTATCTATTATTTCTTTTATCAACCCGATAGACCAGTTGTAAACATACGTCAGTAAAATTATGTATGATACAGTTCAAAATGACAAGAAGGGGACTGTAGTATCAGTGTCATACATTAGCAGTGTGGTTTGGTCCAGTTTAGCCTGGCCTTAGCCATTCGTACACTCCGGTCAATCATCATTTTCCTGCATGTAATGTCTGGGTTTGGTCCCTGTGTTAGCGATTACAATCGCTTGAATTTCGACCGTCCAAACAGAGCGCGGAAGGCGGGTGTTGTTTAGATGTGGTTTACGCAAAGAGTTTGCATCAAACGGGCAGGTTGTAGTTTGGCAATGGCGAAGAATGCAATACTATAGTAATCCGGTCTGGTTCTAAAAAGAAATTGAAGCCAGAGCAAGAGGAATGTTTAGAAAATTTAATTGCTGGCAAAGATTGTGGCGCTACCCTTACCAAAAAGAAGTACATTCAAGTATACTTGGTAGTATACTTAAAAAGAATATAGTATACTTCAAGTTTACTTTCACTGTACTTATCAGAAGTATACTTCACCTAGTAAATTTTTAAGTATACTAATAAGTATACTTATATATATACTTATATCAAAGTTTACTTACATTTAGACTATACTTGCACTTAGTATACTTAAAATTTACTTAAGTATACTAATAATTATTTCAATATTGTACTTGTATGTGTACTTATTCAAAAGTTTACTTACATTTAGACTATACTTGTACTTGACTGTACTTACCAGAAGTATACTTTGCCAAGTAAAGTCTAAGTACATTAAAAATTAGGCTATAGTATTATACCAACATATACACTTAGACTAAAGTTTACATTTAGATAATACTTGCACTTGAGGTTATCTTATTAAAAGTTTAAATATTAAACTATTTGCATGCATCTTTTTGATTGTATCCCTTTTGATATATTTTCACATTTGCTGGATTGTTTTATACTGCAAGATGGTTAAAATCTGATCTGATCTTTGTCAGTTCTTTTTTTTGCCAAAAGGTCAGCATGTATGTGGCTTAAGACTATAGCCTAAGTAAACTCCTAGTCTACATAGTGTCATTATAACCCTTTTATTTCAAACATCGTCCGGCCCTTAAATAGTACACAAAACCACCTACTTTCTAAACGATGGAAAAAAGGAGAACAACAACTTTTCAGGTAGTTTATTGATGCTCATAAAATGGGAACATTAAAGACAATGAGCTCTTTCAGTCCCGTTCATATGGATTTGGCAGAGGTACAAAATACAGTTTATCTGTCTCAACGACGACACATTTCTTTAATATCGTCTCAGGCCAAATTGCATACACGTTTCCAGTCTTCTTAACTTCGTGAATGAAAGTACTCTCTACATTAATCTTTGAATCGTTACACAATGGCCTGTTAGATTTACTCAGCTCCTCTACCAACACACAAGAATGTTTGATACATGCACAGTATCCCGGGTTTTCATGTGCACACTTTTCTTTAAAGACAACCAAGTCATTAATTAAACATAATTTACCATCATTCAAAGATACAGCACTGTTGAATCTTTTCTTCAGCCGTTCATAAGTCTGACTGTGAAACAAAATGCCTTTAACCAAAAAACGCCTGTAATACCAGAAGCAGTTACTTAGATTTTCACACAGTTTTCCAATGGCAAGCCCATGTGAAGCTGGGATGTTTTCCTGCCAAGGAGGATGACCAAAACCCTTGACACTTCCATTAAGTATGACACATTTTTCTGTTCTTCGGTCATAGGAATACTGTTTTTCAACAAATGACTCTACCTTTGGATTTCCAGATGTTATGGTATGTTTGGCTTTTTCCGGTAATTCTCTCCACAACAGAAATGTTCTGACCATTTGCAACGGGACAGATTGTGTCCCATGAAAATATTTAAGGAGAGTGCCCATATTGGACTCGAATGGAAAAGTAGAAGTAGCCCATAAAGGTCCCCATTGTTTAACACTTTGTGCGACATGGGAAAGCAAATGGATATTGAAAGTCATGCGGTCATTTCCATACAGTCTCTGAAAGTCAATAACAAATGTTTTGAGTGCCAGTTCTGCCATCATGATTGCTCGTTTCTGGATCTCGTCCTGCAGTAATGTGTATATGCCAAATACCAAAAGGAACAGATTATTCCAAAATCTAGCAGGAAGAATTCCTTTTAACGTTGGCAAGGCATAAAAGAGTAGGAAGGCTCGCCACTCCGAAGCCTTCCAAAATTTCCTGTCCTTGAAAGATCTTGGAGTTCTTGTTATCTCAACAGGAGGCTTTATCTTTTCAAGTCGCAAATCAACTTCTTCCATCTGTTTACCAATGTACCAAGAAGCATCACTGTTCGTAGAATCAAACCATAGAGTAGCCAGCTGTCGGGTGACGCCAAGGCACACATTGTGTTGATATTCTGGAATGAAGCCATTTATCATCTGAAAGTGACTCAGCCTCATCAAAGGAGATGGGCCTTTAACTCCAAATACAGGTGCATCCACTGTTGCTGACATTGCATGACTAAAATGATCCTTCTCATTACGCAGGAGGGGTTCCGGTCTGGTGTATGGATAAGCTTTGCCGCCTTTGTGATAACAAAAATCACATCCATAAAAACCATTAAACTGCTTTGTGTTACGAAGCAAAGGCCGCGCCACTGAATCAGAAGTACAAAGGAGCACAAACACTTTAGACACATGAGGGTTTCCCTGTTCATCTTTCCAATCTACACCTTCGGTCTCCAACAAAGAGGCGTCTTTTACAAATGGGGCTAGTAATGTAAACATTGATGGCTTGCTAGGCCCAAACCATAACGCAGACAACAAAATGTGCTTTCTTCTCTCATCCGGGGCTAATTCAATGACCTGACACTGAATTGGCCAAATGCTGCATTTAGAACTTTTGAAGACTGGTGCTCCGTCACAATTCCAAATTAAAGTTAAATCATCTTTCTCTAGAACTCCACTATCGCATAACTTTTGGTACTCCTTGCCAGATTGTATATCAGAGAGAATCCCTAACTTTTTATCATGTTGAGTAAGCGTCACACTGTGCTCTTCCAGGAGTTGTTTGATCTGCGCTCGCAGGGGTAACACGAGAATATAGACCCCTTTTTTCAGGTGTTCGTCTGCATCAAATGGTGTGTTACAAGAATCACATTCACGGGGACAGTCAGCTCGAATGCCAAGGTATTTCAAACAGCGTTCACAATAAAAGTGTACTTCATATGTAGATGAGATTCCAAATTCTTTATGGAACAGGTAATGGGAGGATGGGATCAAGCCAGGAAATGCAATGTTGAGCATTTCCAGCAAATGAGTCACTGCTTCACCAGTCAAATTGTGCCGCAACAGAAAGGACATGAGCATCAGTAAAGTCTCTCCTTTAGAAACCGGAGCACCAGGATACAAGGGCTTGTTGCCATCATCTTCCCCATCTTCATTGACCTAGGGGAGAGAGTACATCCAAAATGTTAATAGTTGCCATATTTGAAGTTTGGAAAAAAAGGTTTTTCGTAAATTACCAATCCCACAGAGCCACTCAAAATAAAATTTTATGCATCATATTTTCAAATCCCAAAGCAGAGTATGACTCCTAACTGTGCAGAAATATCAGTTTATCATATAGGATAAAGCATGCCCCCATAGTACAGAAGATGACTCAAGATCCTTCATCTAAAATTGACAACTCCTGTTCAGCTGAGAGCTTATACAACCATGCCCAACTACAATTATTTCGGAGGGGTACAATGGTTTTCATTTCTAATAATGAATACTGGCACAAACTACAATGCGGGTGGACAAAATGCAAAACATTTAGGAATCAGTTATCTGTAACATGTATGTGACTCATCTATAGTGTGCCTGGGCAGACAAATTGTATGACAAGACACCCCCTGTTGCTTACACGATAAAAGGCATTAGTCTGATCGCATTGGATCAAGTATAAATTGTGATATGTTTAAGGCAAAGTATCTATTTTTAAACTCCTTTCAGTGACTTCAGAGCTAGAGGCAACGTCACTCATGACGTAGGCTGGGAACTGCATAATGAGTTGAGCATTTATATCTCCATGATTAGAAAGTGCAAATCTACTTTCTAATGCATTTAGCTGCCCTCTACCATTCTTGTCAATGTAGAGGGAAAAGAGGGGGAGATAGCCAATTAAAAAAAAACACAAAAAAAAATCTAAAATGGGAAGTATCAAACCACTCCCTTCTCCATTTGTGGATGATCCCCAGGCATCAAAACAATGTGGGCTCTGCCCACCTGGGTGATAATTGGGTTTGTTCTGCTTTTGACGTAAAATATATCAGAGGGTCACAACTCAGTTGTTTACCAGGAGAGGGCGGAGCAGCTGCATGATGCTAGAAACAATGTGCTCTTTGTTTCCTGTAAAAAGGCTGAGACCTCATTGCTCTTCAGTCGCAGAGCGACAGGTAAATAAGGAAGTCATGGAGCTTCTGCCTTAGACAGAACAATTCTGAATCTTAAGTATGTAGTAAATAAATTAAGAATGGAATGAAAATTGTAATTACACTTTTTTTCTTTTAAATCACACAATTGATGCTTATAAAAAAGGTTGAAAAAACAAACAAACATCCATATATTATCTGAAGTAGAGTCATGTGTCCCAGTTCCTCTGAGTCGTGGTAGGTCATGATGGACCATGACGGATGGACAGGACTGTGGTAGGTCTACTTTTAATTGGAGAAAATAGTTACATAGTATCCGTTGAAGAAATGAACCTCATGAGCTTCTCCTGTAACATCTGTCCACATCAGTCCTGCTGCACCACAACTCAGAGGAACTGGGACAAACATGACTCTACAGCAGATACAAATGACAAGGGTTTGTATTTGTAGAATGAGTGTTATCAATAATTAACTGACATTTTAAAATCACTGAAATGTCAAACCTATTAATTAGGAATACTTTAATTTCAATCTTTTATTGTTAATCCAGGAGAAGTGTAATGTTCTAAAGCAGAATCTCCATTACTTCCTTCTTCACTTCTCAGTCTGTGACTGAAGAGCAATGAGGCCTCAGCCTTTTTACAGAAAAGAGCATCATGTCACTGCAACTCTGAAGCCATTAAAAAAAAACAAAAAAGAAACATCACATTGACTCAGAGTGGGTTGGCCTCAAATGTGACCAAACACCAAGATCTAAGCTCCAAGACTAAAAATAATAAAACCAGACTAGAAAGGGTTAAGTTTGACTTGTAAAGGTCCAGCCCACATGGAAAATGCAGACAAACCCACATATAACCCAGGTGAGCAAACCCATGGGGAGCCTACATTGTTTTGATGGCTGGGATATTATTCCTCCATTGTCAAGCAATGCAATTCCTACCATTGCACATTGAGGAGCGTTTTCTTTTGCGTTGAAATCCAGGTCTTCAGTCTCCACATTTTCATCTTCAATGCTGTCGACATCAAACATGTCCATTTCAGACTCTGATGGGTATTCTTTGATCTACAGGTAAAAAATTAAGATTTAGAGTTTGGAGCAGAATATTAATTCAAGTGAAAGTGGTGCATGAATGCATTTACCTCTTGAGAACCAGTAGAAGAGTTTTCCTCATCTTCATTTTCTGTGAAATTTTTATCGTGTATGACCTTTAGTGTAATAAAGAGAAAGTGTTACTCAAAGTGAAGAAAAATTACACACACTTACTTTATTTTACTGAAAGTTCACACACAGACAACTGTGAAGTGAAAGCAAAATGATACATGATTGTTATTGTTCAAAAAATTTAAAAGTGGGGCGTGCGTAAGTATTCATACAGCCTTTTTTTTTCTGAGTGCATTAAATTGCCTTTATAACATTCCTAATGACTGCAGAAAGTTCACACCTTGCCCTAACCATTAAATAGAGGCCACCTGTGTGTAATCTACTCTCAGTATAATTCCAGCTGTTCTGTGAAGGCCTCAGAGCTATGGTCAGAGTGTATTGGTCACTAAGCAACATCGTGAGATTTCCCAAGATTTGAACATGTCACGGAGCACTGTTCAATCCATCATTCGGAAATGGAAAGAGTATAGCACCACTGCGAACTTACCAAGACACGGGCGTCCACCTAAACTAACAGACATAACAAGGAGAGCACTGGTCAGGAATGCAACCAAATCTACACAAATCTGGCCTTCATGGACGAGTGGCAAGAAGAAAGCCATTATTGAAAGGAGGCCATAAGAAATCCCGTTTGAATTTTGCTAGAAGTCATATGGAGGACACAGCTACCATGTGGAAGAAGGTGCTTTGGTCAGATGACACAAACATTTAACTTTTTGGCCCAAATGCAAAACGTTATGTATGGAGCAAACGTAACATTTCTCATGGTCCTGAGCGCACCCTCCCCAGTGTCAAATATGGTGGGGGGGAGCATGCTATGGGGCTGCTTTTCCTCAGCGGGGACTGGGAAGATTGTAAGAATAGTTGGGAAGATGGATGGAGCCAAATACAGAGACATTTTGGAGGAAAACCTACTGGAGTCAGCAAGAGAATTGAGGCTGGGGCGGAGATTCACCTTCCAGCAGGACAATGACCCTAAACACAAAGCTACATCTACAATGGAATGGTTTAAAAACAAACATTAATGTGTTAGAATGGCCCAGTCAAAGTCGACCTAAATCCTATTGAAAATCTGTGGAAAGACCTGAAAACTGCTGTTCACAAACGCTCTCCTTCTAATTTGACAGAGCTTGAGTTGTTTTGTAAAGAGGAATGGGCTAAAATGTCAGTCTCTACATGTGCAAATCTTGTAGAGTCAAACCCCAGAAGACTTGCTGCTGTTATTGCAGCAAAATGGGGTTCTACAAAGTATTAATTCATGCTGTATGAACTTTTTTTTCTCTATTTTTTGTAAAATAACAGAATCATGTATCATTTTGCTTTCACTTCACAGTTGTCGGTTACTTGTGTGTGAACTTTCAGTAAAAAAATTCAAAATAAATGTTTTGTTTATGGCTGTAAACATGACAAAAGTTCAAGGTGTACCTTAAAAATACCATACGCGTTTTGTAAGTATTTGAACAAAGTTTTTTTTTGTTTATACCTAGTGTTTTTCAAAAAGAACCTTAAAACAAGGACTTTATGATGTCAAAATGCAATGCAAAAAGACTCAGATTGGAGTCTTTTTGCATTGAAGTGTCATTCTGTAGACTAATATGGCGGCGTCTAGGCACGTTGTTCATGACGTTGCTTTTGCCAACTCAATTTCTGTAAACCATTAATAGTTTCACAGAAATACTTACATTGACCCAATACACTTTAGTTGCCCTTAACTTTCATAAAGCATTGTAAAACTGCAATACTGACCACATTTTGCAAGGAATCATCATCTTCATTGTTTTCTTCATTGGGGACAGCCTCCTTGCGTCTCTGCATTTGAAGAAATTACCGACAGTCACAATGCAGCTATAATGACATGTTGAAACAGATTAAAGCAAGAGCTACATTTTCATAATGTATCTTATTTAGATTACGTTAGTAACCACTAACACCTTGCCTTATAAACAAACAAGAAGAGTCGGCTGGATAATACAGTGAAGACAAAGAACAGAATGCCTGCCCGCAGCCCGCTGCTATTCATGGCTACGGCCACGTACACAGGCCGTGGACTGGGGAGCTGGGGTGTCACGTTCAATGCATTAGACGGAGCTAACTAGCTCGGCAAAATTAAATTGGAGGCATTCAGCCATTACATGTTAGAACAATTGGAATTTGTGTTTTGACAGGGTCTATAGAACAGTCTTCTTTGCGATTCCATTCTCCTTCTGATAAATTGTCAAGATTCCAGTGAACATGGACGCCACTGTTTCGCTTTTCACAGACATTTTTTTAATGTTCATTTCAAGCACGTAGGCTTAATGTTGTTTTAAACTGATCATGTCATAATGCTACACAAACCTAATCCCCAATATTTAATCTAAATTTTATCCGTTTTTTAACTTCACAATAGTTCATAAACAAATGTCTTCCAACTCCAGGCCATACCCTTAACCAGACAACTATATCAAATACACGTGAAATAGATCGACAGCATCGTAGACACTTTGTTTAGCTTTTGCTAATTAGCAACATAACTTACTTTTGCTAGCTTCCATCTGTTCCGTGTTCTTTTCGGGATTCGTTCTGTGCCATCCTCCAAATACTTCTTGTAGGATCCCGAACGTTTTGCCATGATTTACGCTACGAAAATGTGAAAGCATTCTCCATTATGGACGTTTCTTCTCGCTGCCTTCTCCTTTCCCAGCGTTCATTTGGGCACATGTAGTCTCGCGGTACTACACGTGCTACGATCCGACGTACACTGAGCTGCGCACATCTCGCGAGAGCCTATTCGCGCTCTTGAATTGTAACCGTTCGCGCTCTTGGCGGTGAAGGAAAAAAAAGGGAGCTAATCAACGAAATAATTATCTGTAACCATGGCTTATGCTATTTATTACTTTAAAGACAAAGCTGTAGAGGTGGGAAAAATACAATGGATGAAGGAGGAAGACCAAAAGGAAATGTCATCCAAAACGTTTAAAGAGTGCCCTAATCTGGAGGATGAAGATGGCTGGGTAAATGTGCAGTGGCGACCCGGACAGAAGGGGAAAAAAGACGGCCAATTGAGTTTTCCTGCCAAGATTCTAATGATCAGTGGTCAGTATATGTGTGATTTATAATTTATATATTTATTTAAACAAAATAACTTTCCAGGAAAATAATTTTACAACACAGTAATTGGCTTGTTACACGTTTTTTGCGGGGCATTAAAAAGCATAAGTCATTGCACGACTTTGGGTCACTTTAATGTCATTAAAAAAGTTATTTTGCCTGTGAAAAATTTGAGTGGACACGTTCATTATTGTACATTTTTGTATCACATTGCACTCTGATGATTTTTCTCATAGACAATTACACTGATCTGTGTAAAAAGAGGGAGGGATTCATAAAAGGCAAGGATATCTGGGAAATACCTAAAGGTAACGATAAACGGAGGAGAACACCAAACAGCAAGTGGATGGACAAAGAGCAAGAGCCTGATAGTCAATCCAAAAAGGTAAAACATTTAGAAAAAAGTTTGAATACATAGGAAGCTCTATCATACACCTCATGTCATGTAAATGAAAATCTTTCCTATATATTCAAATGATTTTTGAGTCCCTCAACAAAAAGGAATGTTGTGTAATATTAATATATTGTGACCATATTGTTAACATGATGGTCAATGTTTCAATTTGCCTTGACTGTATCTATTAAAATTATAGCTCTATATGCTAATACGCATTTCATATTTACTGTCATACATTGAAGCACTTTGCAAATACTAAAATGTAAAATATCTCTTTGGCAGCAAAAAACCAAAAAATCCTCATCATCCTGTCCAGCAAAAGAGGCTTCAAACCAAATGATTGAAGACTTGAAGAAAGATCTAATGGAACAGCAAGCCTTGGAGGTAAATTGTATATTTATTGTTTAATTTAGGAAATAACTTGGTATTGAGGCTGCAGACAAGATCATGTTTTTCACCGCAAGTTGCCGTTAGTACCATATATTGGATCATAACACAATTCTGTACTGACACAATAAGGGAAACAAACACCTTGAGGAATCATCTGCCCATCACAATAACATTTAAAAAGCAAGCACTTTTTGACCATAGATGTCTTCATTTTATCTTGATGTTATTGTGCTTGTGTTTTTGTGTCTTGTAGTTACGTTCTGAATGTGACGAAACATCGGATGAGGACCATGAGCCTCCCAGGAATTGGAGCAGTACACTGCGTCAAATCAAGCAATTAAAATCTGAGAACAAAAGGCTCAAAGAAAGCAATTATAAACAAATTGTAGAAGCAATCAGGGGTAAGTTTAGTTGTTTTGTTTTGTATTTTTAGCAGGGGAAAAGTATTTTCATGTGAAAACAGGATCAACTTTATTGGAGCTCAAAGTAGCTAAAAAATTTTTTTCTAAAGATTCAGATTTCTAAAACTTGCACAAATTCACCATCTTATTTTATGTCACTTTTCTTAATTGCAACAGGCGTATGGCCATTTCTTTATGTCCTAAATGGGAACATTCCAAGACTGAGCGTTCCGTAGAACTCTGCCTCATTATTTTCTCATTCATACAGTATGATTACCTCTTCCTCTGTCCTAAGTAGTGCTAAACCACCACCGTAAATGACAAAGGTTTTTTCTCTGTTAGTGTTGCATTAGCTACCGTGTTAATCACTCCATTCAGAGTCCTGGGCTGCGTACTGGTCACAGAAATCCTCCTTTCATGTTAACAAACTCCTCACTAAAATCTGACGGGACTGTGTTAGTACCCTACACAGAGATGAAGATGAGCCAATTGTGCTGCTTGTATAGAGTAAAAAAAAATATGCAATTTTAATTTTTACAAAATCATTCAGCCCTAGTCCCAGGCCATGATCAATAACAATGATAATAATATATTAGTGATCAAGATATTTATTTATTTTTGATTAATAATTAATCTTAACTATAATTGTGTTGATTATATTCTTGTGAAAAAATCTAATGTGGCGTAAGCATTTTAAAGAAACATGTACTGAATGTTTCTGTTCTCTTTACAGACCTGCCAGCTGTTGTTCAAAACTTAAGACACATAACTGAGCAGCTTTCATCGTTCTCAAAGTCTTCCTCTGCCGAATCAACACCTGTGCGACTAGTGCGATCTGAACACTTGCCTGTATCCTCTCCTGCATCTCCTCAAGAGGAGTCTGTTTGACATGGTAATATAGGAATGTTTACAAAATGTTCTTAATTTGGCTAGTGTAAAGCTCTTGGGGTAGATTATGGCTCATGTCACACAGTGCCAGATAATCAGTTGGTGGCACTCTTCCAATTAAAATACAAGACCATCTCATCGACAACCTGTTTTAAAACACATGCACGGTTGGAATGGAGGAATTGACTTTTCGAAGAACCAAATAGTTAAGGTGGGGTGGACTGTATGTAGGGTTAGCTCTTAGGGTTTAACAGTGGTGGATCGGTCAGAATGCAGGAGGGACGGAAGAGACTGGAGTCCAGGTTCACGTTCCAGCAGGGTTTAATCTGGCTGAAGTGAATGTATTTTACAAGTCTGTAACAACAGAACAATGTGGAAAAAAATTAGGTCTAACAAGTTTAGCAGAACAATCATACAAGGTAAATAATAAATAAATACATAAAAGTGATTATCTGGTCTACTGTAAAATGCTAATACCCTGAAAGGATAATAATTTACTTTTGAGGTGCAAGACAGCTGAAAATTCCATGATGGTACAGTAACTATGGTAACTGGCAAACTGCAGATTTCTTTGTCTTATTTTGTGGCTAATATCTCACTCATTACTGGGAAAATCCACATGAAACAGAAACTGTCTCAAAGTTTATTGTCTTCTCTGTCAGCACATATAAACTAATGTCAGATTATCTCTGAAAAGCATCCAAAAGTGGAGACAATATTAAAAAAAAAGGGGGCGTGATGTTGGTCAAAACGACTTTAGAGTTGTATTGGCCCCTGCCCTCCACCTGACATTATGACATCATCACTTTGTAGAACATGAACGCCACCTATTGCAAATAACTTTGTTGTTTTACAGGTGTCTCTGGTGCCAGGCTCAGACGTCAAAGTCAACAAAATGAAGCTGAACTCTCTCCGAACTTCAAATTCGTCAGTTTATGTTGGAGACCTTGCTGTCCTAATCTTTGGCAGAGAAACGCTGTCTAGCTCAAGTCTGACCGGGAGACAGTCAGCAGCACATAAAGATGTGGAGTCCAAGCCGCAACTGGATGCTGCTAAATTGGATGCCATTGTTGGTGAGTATACTTACGTACTTTTAAATATTTAAATAAATTGTACGTTACACCGTTGCTTTATTCTCCATTGTTGTTTTGATGTACGTAGCACGAGCGGATAAGATAACACCAACACATAAATATTTTATCTTTCAGATAAAATATTTATGTGTTGGTACTTTGTGTCAAATGTTTGAAAAGCACTGGTCAAGATACCTTGTTCTGATCCTGTCTGTGGCCTCACTCATCCTGTGCTGCATATTTGCCAATCAATACGTTTTTCATCATCGGTGGGTGTACAGTTAGAGCATTATATGCTTACTTTTTATTAATTAATTATATCAAAATTAACTTATCTATTGTGATCAATCAAAATGTAAAAGTCTGCTTAATCTCATGTTCAAAAAAATGATTCACAGCAGTATTATTAATTCAGGTATGAACTGTTAAGATTTTGTGGTGTCAGAGTTCATCTAGGGGCGACAGTAGCTCAGTTGGTAGAGCATTGGCCTTAAGCCCAGGAGGTCGTGGGTTCAATTCCCACCTCTGCACCTTCTCCATTGACTCCCACTGATGACTGCTGTCGTTGTGTCCTTGGGCAAGACACTTAACCCCACTTTGCCCAAAGCCCCCACTGAAAGATCAAGGCTATGCTCACACTCAGAGAGCAGCCGTCCTCCTGTGGACTCACCACCTGCAGAGGGTCAGTGAGGGGCTGGTGCATCTCTGACTGTCACCCCCCTGACCCAGAAATGGATTAAAGGGTAGAAAATGGATGGATGGAGTTCATCTAACTGTTCATATTTTTGTTTTTGTGTTCACAGGGTACGCTCGGTCGAGGTTTCCATCTTTGAGCGTTCAAGATATAAGAAAAATAATAAGAAAGAAGTGCAACAATGAAAACTTCAAAAAAGGATCAACGGCCAAGCAAGTGGATGCTACACAGAATTAAAATCCATATCTGTTTTTGTTATAATGTTCAATTTGTAAAATTCTCACTGTAGGTTGAATAAATTTAAACAAAATGACTTTGCTATGTTCTTCTTTTCTCAGCATAAAGGTGAAATGGGAAATAGTGGACTTGATTATTAAGAAGTACACTACAAGTACACTTAAAGATTACTTTAAGTATACTACGAAGTATACTTTGAAAGATAGAAGTATACTCAATTATATCAGAAGTACACTACAAGTACACTTAAAGATTACTTTAAGTATACTACAAAGTATACTTAGAAAGATAGAAGTATACTCCATTATATCAGAAGTACACTACAAGTACACTTAAAGATTACTTTAAGTATACTACGAAGTATACTTTTAAAGATAGAAGTATACTCAATTATATCAGAAGTACACTACAAGTACACTTAAAGATTACTTTAAGTATACTACAAAGTATACTTTTAAAGATAGAAGTATACTCAATTATATCATAAGTACACTTAAAGATTACTTTAAGTATACTACAAAGTATACTTTCAAAGATAAAAGTATACTTAATTATATGAGAAGTACACTACAAGTAAACTTAAAAGATTAGTTTGAAGTATACTTTTGGGTTACTTTAGAGTATACTTGAAGTATACTGCAAGTGGGCCAATTTAGTCCCAAGGAGTATACTTGTAGTACAAGTATAAGTATACTTGGGCATATATACTTATATATACTAAAGTAAACTTGATATTATATACTTGAAGTATACTTCTTTTTGGTAAGGGTACTCCCCACGGGCTCCGTTAGCGGCAAAGGAGATGGCTAAAGCTAGGCTAAATGCTAACAACTCACTCGGGCGCATTACAAACTCAGATCCAATCGATTAAATCTGCAAAAGGAGTTAACCCTTCCCACCTGTAAACGGAGCTCAATGGAGCACCTCCAGACCTTAGTACGAAATGTAATTTGTACTATGGTGTGGTAGGACCAGGCTAGGTCAATTTGGTACTCCTGGTACTGAAGAGGAGACTGCAACATGCGGCTGGGATGAAAATCGGCACGTCAAAATCTGAGGCCATGGAGCTTGACTGGAAAAGGGTGCCTGTACCTCTCCAGGTGGGTGGAGAGGTCCTTCCTCAAGTGTTGGAGTTCAAGTGTCTCCGGATCTTGATCACAAGTGAGGGAAGGATGGAGCATTGACAGGCGGATTGGTGCAGTGTGCGCATTGAGGTCGGTGGGTCTTTGGTTAGACTGCTGTCCCCGCAATCCGGCAATGGATGAAGCAGAAGAGAATGGATGGATGTTTTCCTCCTCTCCTTTTATGTGAGTTCAGGCTTATCATCTGCTGTCTTTTCTGAAACAGTCCTGAACTACCAACCTTTCTTGGCTGATGGACGAGGAGCATGAAACAAAAAATATTGTCACCACATGCTCTGATAAGGAAGTGACGTAGAATTAAGCTGCTTTCACACCGCCAACGCTGGAACGCCGATGCCTCGCGCGCACATCCTCTAGTTTTCAGACGCAGGAGTCCTCAGACCAGAAGTACTGACACGCGCCCAAAGTGGCGGAAGTAGCCGGCGGGCTTTGATGCTAACAGAGTTAAGCTAGCGGCTACTTGTGTAAAGTTCTTCTCCAATGATGCAGCTCTGCAGTGTCTGTGTCCAGAGACCTTCCACAGACTTTATATAACAGCAGTATGTGTTCATGGAGGTGCGCCATAAATTTTTTTGTATTAAACGGTACTTCCGCATCAGCGAACACGCTCGAAGCCGTTGCATAAGGTCACGGGAGTGTGAAAAGGCATATGTTCACAAGCACTATGTCTCCCATTGTCAACCCTGATTTTAGTCCTGGTGTAGCTTTTGGCTGTTTACGAGTATGTTCAGTCTGCTCGCTCAGACCCCTAATGTCCCCGTGACCACTTTGCGGCTCTGATTGGTCGCTGTACGAGCGTCCAAGGAAAAGTTCAGCAAAATTAATCTCCTGCGTGCGTAAATTTTTCGCTCCTGAACCTCCCTCGCGACTTTGCACCTCCCTCGCGTCTTCGCCGCGCAGTCTGTGCGTCTCTACCGAGCAGTCCGTGCGTGCATTCCGAGACGCACATGCATTTTGACGCTCGAATGCGCGTCACCATTGACTTTGCATGACCCGGTCTGAACGCGGCGTCAAACAACCAAGTTATAAGGTAATCATGACCCCTTCAGAGTCTACGACATCACATGCGGTGCCATACATGCATCAAGAGTTCCGAGCTTCCGGCTCGACCGCACGGCATTGTGGGTAGATTTGTCAAAAAGGTGGGCATGGTCGTATCACAGCTGACCCCTCTCACCCTGCACATGGACTATTCCAACCACTCCCCTCAGGCAGGAGACTGCGGTCCATCAGGACTAGAACCTCCCGCCACAAGAACAGTTTCTTCCCCTCTGCTGTTGGACTCTTGAACACTTCTTAACCTGTCCCCCCGCCCTTTATAAAGTCACTTTACTGCCCTTTATAAAGTCACTTTACTGCCCATGATACGTCACTTTACTTCACTGTACTGCTGTCAGCTTACATTGTGTGCACCATGTGCACTTGTATATTGTAAATAGTAACTGTAACTCTATTTTAAATTTAAATGTATTCCTTAGAAGTGTTTTTTATTCTTTATTTTTATTCTTTATTTTTATTATCTCTTTCTGACTGTTGCACTGAGCCAAAGCAATTTCCAAGTCTGTGACTTCCTGTTACTTACGTGGCAATAAAAATGATTCTGATTCTGATCAAATCATGCTGCCATATTGGATTACATGTTGCGAATGTGATCTCTCTTGTTTCCAGCCCATAGATTGTTTTAATAGCTAAAAAAATCACCAATTTCAGACATTTTGAAGGTAAGGTAAAGATTTTTTCATTTAACAAAAAAGCAATGCATTATTTTCTTGTGGTTTTAGTCAGTCGGTTTTACACAACCGACTATAGAGCTACATGTTCTGATCAGAACATCAGAGTGGTTGTGTTTACATG